CTTAAGGACAAGGATTATGTCTTGTTCACTCTTGAAGCCCCAGAGCCTACTACAGTGCCACCTATATACACTGTACTAGTAAGTAATTATTGCTCATATTTTCTTTTCTTTCTTTCTTTCTTTTTTTTTGGAGAGGTTTTTGCTACAGGGCGCGTGCGCTCGCCAGAAAGACGGAGAGAGACAGAGAGACAGAAAGCGAGAAATCACTCCCCCAGGGGGGATGGCCAATCCGCAATCCCTTCTCCTCCATTCTCCTCTCGGGATCTTGGGCACGCATGACACGTACCCGGTGTGAGTTTAAGCCACCAGGTCCAGGACTTGAACCACGGTCGACTACGTGGGAGTTCAGCAACATAGCCATTACGCTAACTGCTGGTCCCCTATTATTTTATTTTATTTTTTTTGCCCATATTTTCTCAGGGATTTGGAATAAGGTTATGTTGTGTACATACCATCCTCTTTTATACCCTAACCCCTTTCACGTGTTAGCAGCTTGGCAGCTCATTCATCTCATTAAAACAAAGAGCCACTTAAAAAAAAGTTTATTTTGGAGCTGGCCTTGTAGCCTGGTAGTTAAGGGATCTGGGTTCCACATGGCCAATTGCAGTTTGAACCCTGCCCCAGCAGCTTAAAAAACATGCCGGATGCATGTGCATGTATGCCCCAAGTCCCAACATGATGGAGAAGTGGAGGAGAAAGGATTGTGGTGTGACCATATTTCATTGGAGGGTGCTTTCTCTCTCTCTCTGATGAGTACATGCATTCTCTGGCAGTTGAGAGGAAAAATAGTTTCTTTACTTGTGGAGGCACAGGCACCCCCTGCAGGTCTTCATGTCATCAAGACTTAGCCAGTCTGGATCACAGCCTGGTGTGTATATGGAGGCCCTGGTATATGAACCCTGAACTTTCTCATGTGGATCCAGTTACATTCCTGTTTTTTTTTTGGGGGTTTTTTTGGGTTGTGTTTTTTTGCCCCCCGCTATAGGGCGCGTGCGCTCGCCAGACAGACAGAGAGAGACATAGATACAGAAAGTGAGAAATCACCCCCCGGGGGGATGGTCACGCCGCAATCCCTTCTCCTCCATTCTCCTCTCGGGATCTTGGGCATGCACGCACATGCGCCCGGCGTGAGTTTTAAGCCACCGGGTCCGGGATGCGAACCGCGGTTGACTACGTGGGAGTCCAGCGACATAGCCGTTACGCTAACTGCTGGTTCCCCCACTATCTTTTTTTTTGGAGAGTTTTTCTCTATAGGGCACATGTGTTCACCAGACAGACAGAGAGAGACATAGAGACAGAAAGCGAGAAATTCCCCCAGGTGGGAATGGTCACGCCACAATACCTTCTCCATTCTCCTCTCGGGATCTTGGGCATGCACGCACATGCGCCCGGCGTGAGTTTTAAGCCACCGGGTCCGGGATGCGAACCGCGGTTGACTACGTGGGAGTCCAGCGACATAGCCATTATGCTAACTGCTGGTTCTCCTATACCACTATCTTGACCAAAGAGCTACTTCTTGAAGAAAAAACTTGGGCTAGCACTTAATGTCTCTAGTCATCTTTATATTCTGTCCTCGAGCCATATTAATATAATGAAGCAGGTTTATATAATTGAATACTAATAGGCACATTGTTTAGAAAGCCTTCATGCACCAGTTCCACAAAGCAAAGTCACTGATTTTTTTGTTTATTAACCTCTTGGGTCCTGAGAACTCAAAATCATGAGGAAGTTGATGAAATAGACACAAGTAGAAGGAGTAGATTTTCTAAAAGTTAACTATACATGGTTTTATAGGTTAAAAATACATTTGACAGGAATTTTCTGAATTCTATGTTGCTTTTTATTTTTTTTTTAGACCACAGATTAGTTTATTTTTAACACCCATCATGCCATGAATTCATAGGGAAGAGGTTCCAGTAGCCCAGGTTCCTTTCCATTGGTTCTCACAAAGTGTGCTTTTCTGGGTGGAGCAGGCGGGCACTTTAGTTGAACCCAGGTACCTTTCTCTTTGGCTTCTTTCTTTTTCTGGTCATTTTCCTTCACACGTTTTAGGAAGCTATCTCTGCTCTTAGAATGTTTAATATGCTCAATACGCACATTGATTCTCTTGGCAA